TTAGAAATTTAAATAGTAATTAAGTTGTACTGGTGCATTCATGAATGATCAAGTAATTCACTGACATTGATATAGAATCTTTGCTACTCCTAGTATGACCCTGGAGTATCAGACCCTGAACGACCAGTACAAAATTAATCGTACCACACGACCCACTGTGTTTCCAATTTTCATATGTATAAATGTATTTATATATATACATATTATATACACATATATGTATATGTATATGCATATATTTATATATATGTATATATATATGCATATATTTATATATATGTATATATATGCATATGTGTATATATGTATATATATGTATATATACATATATATACATATATATGATTATATATATATTATTATTTGATGTATATTTTATATATATGTATAGTGTGGTATATATTTTTGTATATATATGTATATATATTAAATGTTATGTATTTAATATATTATATGTTTTATCTATACACATTTATATTGTATGTATAAGTTATTATATGTGTATATATTATGCATATATATATATATATCGATATTATATATATTTTTTTATATACTAGATATAGATCTTCTATCTCTTATATAGTATATTTATATATATATATATGTATATATTTGTATTATATATACTATATATATATTATATATATCTATATATATATATATATATATATAATATATCTCTGCATATAATGTATAATGTTTTAAGAATTGGATATATAATATTATGTTATACATATACACACGTATATTTTTATTTATACGCACATATACGCAACATGTGGACATGCACGTACATAGACATATGTATATACATGTACATAGACATATGTATATACATGTACAATATCAATATCCATATGTATGATATAAATGTATTTTGACATTGATCAGTGCAACTAATAATTCACTGATACTATGCTTTTGTTTTCTCAGGGATATTCTAATCAAACCAATCAAAGTGGAGGCTGAAGGATTCCCAAGAGAAAAAGCATGGACCAAATACATTTGTTCCAGTGGTTAGTCACAAATATAATGAAAATAAGTATTATTTGTGATAAAATGTAATTTTCAGGTTCATGTTGTATACTCCATCTTATGAGTGAATGTAAGTATAAGTAGATGTATATAGTTTTCAGAAGCAAACTGTAGATGACTCAAGGAGCAATATCAATGAACAATATAGGGAAACGTTGAAACGAAGTAGTGACTGAAATATTGGTAATTGACTTGCAGGCCAACCATTACTCCCCCATTAAGATTTTGCATGAGAGGATATATCAGAAATTGCAGCTATCAATTTGTCAGCTGTGAGTCTTAAAAAAAGGGGGATGGTGATATAACTAGCTAAGCTGTGTTTTTTAATGCATTGAACCATAGGATTCAGATCACAGCCACGAATATATGAAGGTTTCATTTCTTGGCGATTTATGACTAATAATAACAATAAAATAGATGAATTGTAAATATAAAAAGACTAGAAAAAAAACATACTTTTTATTTAACTAGTGGTTATTTAGCTAATGCTTATATTAGTTTAGTAGAGAGAATGAATACTATTACACTTAGTTCATAACTTCTTTTACAGATATTAATGAAAATGCAGACTTTTAGAGATTTGGAAGGTAGAACCACCACCACTCATTGTAGAAGACTCAGCCAGGGGTTGGGTGACTGCAGGTGGTGACCTTCTGGGACCTACACTTGAGGTTAGTCATGTCTTCAGATCTGAAAGTCTTACCAAAGGCTTTAAAAGTCATGATTTTATTTGATTTATTGGTGGAAACCACTGGAACTAGAACCTTTAGAGATACATAATATTGTGCAGCAGTTAGATGACCAGGAAAAAAGATTGATAAGGAAATATTTATAAAGCCTATAATACTATACTTGTAAAAAAATATTAGTAGGAAATATATACATACTGTACAGATAAATACAAGGCTTTGGTGAAGTTTGAGTTTCATGGCTCCTACTGTGAACTAAACTTGTCATGGTCCACAGTAACACATCTCCAGATGTATGCCTATGTGTAAATATATATATATATATATATAGTATATATATATATATATATATATATATATATATATATATATGTATGTGTGTGTGTTATATATGTATATATATGTATATATATGTATATATAATTTATATATGTTATATATATGTATATATATAATATGTATATAAATATATATATATATATATAGATAGATAGATAGATATAGGTATATATGTATATATATAAATATATATAGATACAAGTTACATATATATATAATTATATAGATACATACATACATATACATATATTATATATATATAAATATATATACATATATATATATATATAATATATATATATAGATATAATATAATATATATATATGAATAGTATATATTGACGTACTGATATATTTTTATATATATGTTTATATACAATCCTCCCCTGACCTGGCCTTGAACCTAGGTCACTCTGGTATGAGACCAGAGAGCCAGTACTAAACCAACCAGGCCACGCGACCCACTAAGAGGAGTGTGCAACTAGGATCTAACTAGCTCCATAGACATTACCTATCTACTCATACATGAGTAATGATAGCGAGGTTTTACACACACTCCCCGTGGGCACTCGGTGGAAATTGATTTAGAAATTCAAAACCGAAGTCAGATATCCTGAGGTATATATATGAAAGATGGAATAATGCAATGCCGCATTGATATAGATATATAACAATCCTCCCTGACCTGGCCTCGAACCTAGGTCACTCTGGGTATGAGACCGGAGGGCCAGTACTAAACCAACCATGCCACGCGACCCACTAAAAGGAGTGTGCAACTAGGATCTAACTAGCTCCATAGACATTACCTATCTACTCATACGTGAGTAATGATAGCGAGGTTTTACACACACTCCCCGTGGGCACTCGGTGGAAATTGATTTAGAAATTCGAAACCGAAGTCAGATATCCTGAGGTATATATATGAAAATGGAATAATGCAGTGCCGCATTGATATAGATATATAACAATCCTCCCTGACCTGGCCTCAAACCTAGGTCACTCCGGGTATGAGACCGTCGGGCCAGTACTAAACCAACCATGCCACGCGACCACTAAAAGGAGTGTGCAACTAGGATCTAACTAGCTCCATAGACATTACCTATCTACTCATACATGAGTAATGATAGCGAGGTTTTACACACACTCCCCGTGGGCACTCGGTGGAAATTGATTTAGAAATTCGAAACCGAAGTCAGATATCCTGAGGTAATATATATGAAAGATGGAATAATGCAATGCCGCATTGATATAGATATATAACAATCCTCCTTGACCTGGCCTCGAACCTAGGTCACTCTGGGTATGAGACCGGAGGGCCAGTACTAAACCAACCATGCCACGCGACCTACTAAAAGGAGTGTGCAACTAGGATCTAACTAGCTCCATAGACATTACCTATCTACTCATAAATGAGTAATGATAGCAAGGTTTCATCAATGCGGCATTGCATTATTCCATCTTTCATATATGTTTGTATATATATAATATATAAATATATGTATGCACATAATATATATGTATATATATGTATGTATATATAAGTATGTATATATGTGTGTGTGTGCATGTGTGTACATGTGCATGTGTGTATGTGTGTGTGTGTATTATTCAAAATTTTATATATTTATTACATTAGATATATATGTACTACATTATATATATATATTGAAATATGTACATATATATATATATATATATATATATATATATATATATATATATATATATATATATATATATATATTGATATAGATATTGATAAGATGAAATCAGATAAGGTCACAAGGACTGCAAATTGACTCCTTTGTGGCTCATAAATAGTAGAGCCATATATGTGCTAAGACATTCACAAAAAAAAAAAAAAAAATGATCACAGCATTTTCCTGGCTTTATCTGCATATATGTATATATGTCTATAAGTATGCATATGTATATATTTATGTTTATATGTATATATTATATTTATATATTTATGTTTATATGTATATCTTATATTTATATTTATGTTTATATGCATATATATGTATATATATCTGTATATACATATATAAATGTTTGTATGTATATATACATATGTTAAATGTTTGTATGTATATATACATATATAAATGTTTGTATGTATATATACATATATAAATGTTTGTATGTATATATACATATATAAATGTTTGTATGTATATACATATATTGTATATATATATATATATATATATATATATATATATATATATATATATATATATATATATATATGAATATATATATATATATATATATATATATATATATATATATATATATATATATATATATATATATATAAATTTATGTTTTATGATAAGGAAATAATTTTAATGCATGTTTGTTTCAGAATCTTGGCTCCCTTGTAAAAAATGCCATATGGGTGTGGGGAACAGAATATGTTGAATTTTGCACCAAATATTTTCATCCTTCAATATCTGGATGCTTCAAATCAAACAACACCAGCAATTGCAAAGAAAGCTATTGACTACATGCAAAAAGGTAAAATTTTGGCACCTGCATGAAAATATGTTCACCTATGTATGTGTACAACTGTTTAATGATTGGCCTATTTTGACTGTAATGCTGTACATTGTTGTTAGAAAAGACATTCATATCAGGGAAATAATACTTATAATATCTTCTGGATAACCAGTTTGTCTATATATGTTTAGGATTGATAGTATATCTGTGGTATGATTGTCCTTTATGTGAATATCTATATATCTTGGTTATTTGATTTTTACAGAAGTGAATGTTATTTTTTGAATTTTACTTTTTATGTGTAAGAATGGCAATATCTATTATGGCTAGACAAACTATTTTCATGTTACATTCCTTCTTTCTTTGCTACTGTTACAGGTTATGAACAGGAGCTGC